CACTAAATTTCGCAAAATGAATGCGTCTTTAATCCGATGTCTGCATAACGGGGTGGCACTTTTCCAAAAACCGCACCAAAGTAATTTCTGAAGCCATATATATACCTTTAGCTGCTGATTGCAAAGTCAGGACTTTGACCAGGTCAGACAGCAGGTGTTATATATATAGGGTGGTTAAAAAAAAACGCTCTACCGTTTTCTATGGGAGAAACACAGTTTCATAAATTCAGCGAAAAAAATTCCATTAGATAGGCTATCGATATTTGACTGTTCCCAGGAGCTGAAATGCTTGCCAGCTTTTTTTCAACACTCTTGCCTAAATTTTGCAATTCCAATTTAGAGGTGAATTATAAGTGCTTAGAGGTGGAGCATTCCACCTCAAGTGAGGTGACGACCTGTGCACGATCGTCTCAGAATTCAGTGTCCCTTCTCTTAACTTCCTTTAGCCTTGCCCCATACCTGCAGGCTGTCTCTAATAATTCGGACTCTCATCTCTAAGTCCCACGCTTCTGGGTCCAAAGGTTGGGCATTTTCTGTTGCCCTTGGGTAGTTTCAGACAATTTCGGCACCAAATAACTTCTCTTACTCCATCTATACATTATATATATATACCTAGGTATACATACATATGCATTTCGACTGAGATCTAGACCTGGGACAGCCCCAGAGAAGCCCTGGGATTGACAAGGTTGCCCGGAAGCGCTTCTCACAGCAGGAGGGAGGTGATAATTTTTTCTTCAAGAAGCAAAGAAAAGAAAATATGACAGAGGGTGACATGTATCAAATTATTTAAACTTAAAATTTGTACATTAGATGATTTTTCCTTGAATATCTCCGGGCAGGATGTAATACGAACGGGGAAAGTCCATCACAGCTTGACAAGTTGACAACACTGGCACAAATCTGAGCTAGCACACTCCCGAGGCAGGTTAACTAAGTTCGTCTGCCCGAGGACCGAGGACAAGTAGCGGATCCAGGAAGGGGGAGGGGGACGACTGACTATGGCCATGTTAGCATTCTATTTATAAATAAAAAAAAGACATTTTTTTATAGCTTCTGCATTAATTTTTATTGGTGCCAGTGAAAGAGATATTCAAGTATTTTCCCCAGACGAGAAATGAAAAATGCGGCAGCGGAGGGGGGTAGGTAGGAACTAGGGAATCGCTCCCCCTATGAAACATTTCTGTATCCTCCACTGCCGAGGACAGGGATAATCTCCATTAGCTGTCTCGTTTCTCTTCATTCTTGTCATTTTCACAAAGGACTGGACAAATTGCCTTTGATGGCAGCCGAGTTCTTATCCCCAACCCGCTCTCTAATGTCTGGATGAACCACGTATAAAAGTACAGTATAAGCTATCCAGAGCTTACAAAAATGCAACTTTTTGGAGCACCTAATGAGGAGGAATTAATTCGTGAAAAATTAGACAAGATTCATCCAGGGAAGTTACTTTACATGCCAATCGTTCAACTGTTCAACTGTTCATACTGTTTAACTGCGAAATTTTCACACATGGCAGCTCCGATGAAAAAATCCGATCGTCTTTTCTAAGATTTCGTCTCTTTCTAAATTAAAAGAAACCGAGCGAATCATATCGCAAACCGCTTTTTTTCCGCGGATTCTATTGAATAAGGCGACTGATCCAAAAGTTGGAGCAGCAGATTAGGATTTTGCAGGCCCCATTTCGATCACTTTCGCGTTCTAAGGAATTCTTAAATGGAATTCCGAAACTTCTGTAAAAGGGGTCTGGCGTAACACTGAGTACCGGAACGCTAAATGCGTGCATCGAAGTATCACTTAATTATGAACAGGGAACGCCATTTTAATCAAATTAGACCTCATGCAGATTTATATTTTTAAAAATAACTTGATACCGAAAGGCGCTAAGATCGTTCTTCGTGTGACGAAGAAATCATTTACTGTTTGTCGGTCTCTTTAGATAGGGATAATGCAATGATACAGGTACATTAACTTCTGATGAGCTGTCATATTAATAGTACCTTTCTACTCTAAGGACCATTTTGTCTGGGACAATTTCGTCCTGGATTCCCGGAAACCCCATTCAAGGCCTATTTCAAACTGCTATACAATTCTTTGCCTTTCAAGGTTTCCGTTCGTGTATTTAGGCATGCACTTTGAAGAATGATGACAGTCAGGCACGGCGGCGTAATCCACAGAAAATTTGTATGCTGGAGAATTATTTCGAAAAGCCTGGAAATGTTTGCAATATTCCGGAGTCTTCGGCAGAAACATGCTCTAATCTGAATATCATCCTTTCGCAGCGTGAAAGCGTAAGTACGCTGGAAGAAATCCCGATGACGGCAATAATTACATATGTAGAACCTCGAAAAAAAAAGGATGTTATCACAAATGCTAAACATGTGGAAGGAAGAAAGTGTAGACATCCTTGGCGACATCCTCGGTCATAAGGCCCTTGGATGAAAACCGCAGTAAAGTCTGGGAAAGGACGAAAGGAACCCCCGGGGGTCCCGACTCCAGCCGACTTAGGACATTCAACCCTCCCAAGACAAGAAGTTGACAGGCACATCTTTTCGCGGAATTCCTCCCAGTCTCGATTCCAATACCTTCGTGGCATCTACATTGGTGAGATACTATCATTTAGGCTCAAAACTCAACCGAGTCAACGTGCTGTAGGAAAAAGTCTGCGGTGGTTGAGGAAACCGGCAGTGTTGAAGATAGGATACGAAGTGGAAGGCCTCGTACGAGTACTGGAGAAGAAGCAAGCCATCAATGTTCTAGCAAAGTTTCTTTGTCTGTTCATCTGTGACACTCGGGCTCACAGAGTAATTTTTACGGTGGACCGTTTTGGACTTGCTTGAACCTTCACTAGGACATTGGTACATCTTCTCCAGTACTCGTACGAGGCCTTTCACTTCGTTACGTATCTTCAACACTGCCGGTTTCTTTCAACCATAGCAGAATCTTTCCTACAGCGCGTTGACTCGATTCAGGTTTGTCTGGGTGCCTACGGTGGAATTCTTCACATGCACGTCTCTGACTTAATCCTCCTACATGGAAAATAATTAATTCCACCCTCTCCTGCGGTGTGCACTTGTCTCCGTCAGCCATTTCTACCAATTACCTGGAAAAAAAAAGAAATCAGCCTACGGGTTTTCGATTCGCCCAGTATTTCAATTGGTTTCTTTCAGGGTGCTTCCTTGACAACCTGATTCGTGAAATGATTACAAGTGCAATGCAATTGTGTATTGTTAACCACATATACGTAATGCATTTCTTTTTCTCCTAACGGGATTTGGGATTCTCATGAGCTTCATCTTTGCTGTCTTCCGTGAACCCTTTTCAAGGATAATCTGCGTCGGGAAAGTATCCATATTCTAATATTACCAATATTGATTCTGCTTTTCTGCCACTGGGGTCTGAGGTCACTGGGGTCGATCGAGTCGTTAATCTCATACCATTTTTACGAGAAGATATGAAAAAGTTACGAAGCATTCCATCCATTTGCAGTACGTGACACGCGCCTTTCCCGGAGGAACCGGTGCGTGGGAGCCCAGTCCTCTGAATGCCCAGACTTATGCAAAAAAAGAGAAAATATCAATAAAGGTTGGGTGTGTCAGCGGTGTCTGAATTTCTTGAAGTACAAGCTGGACTAGGTACTAAACCCATCCCAAAAATGCGTGAAAACTGCTCTCACATCTTGCCAGTAGCTGAACCTCCTTAGTTTCAATTCCACGATATGATGCACCGACATCAAATATATGATTTTCTTAATACAAACAGTATGCATTTCATGTGCGCCCATGAGAAGGAGTGCCCATGCTCATCCTCTGGGATCTCGTATGAACCCCTGGGGCTTCTGTCCTGGGATAACACAGAGACACCCTTAATTGTGTACGCATACACCTTTTTGCTGCCTTTCTTTAGTGTGGACCTGGACCATTATCATCCCGGGTCTTCCTGCGAAGTTTCGAAATATCCTGCCAAAAGGTTCGCATACATCCTGGGCACATTAATAGCTCATACATCGCTCAGTTATTAGTTTTTGCGGAGATACAAGCACTCACGGACGCTTAAATTATCACAATGTTTTGGATTATAGCAATTCTTGAATGTCTCATTGCAAGCAGTGAAAACAAGATTTCATTATCCTTTCGAGAAATCAGCATGAACTCAACCCCCATGAGAAATTGCGCGTGCGCTACCCTGTCAATGGTATGGTAGTAAAGTAGTTCAGTGCACGAGTAGATATATTCTTTTTTATTATTTAAGTAACATTCCCGTAAGACAACCCACACGTTGATGTTCATCGATGGCTTTCGATGAACTCTCGGTGCACGAAAAATGCACCGAGGGGATTGCCAGTGCTTCCGTGGGATACGTGCGCGATTTTGGCCATAAATAAATTCAGATGCACTGTTCGAATTGTTTCTCACAATGTTCATATTTACCCCAGTTACTGGGGTGAATCCGAACGAAGCCGTTTTTTAAATAATTGCTTTTTTTTAACGCTTCTTAGTTGCCAGCGAGTTTGTCGTTGGTTTCGAAACTGCAACTCTTTAACACACAGAAACTGACTTAAAGTACGGCTCAAATCGTTATTCCTGGCTTACAAAACAGATTTTACTCAGGTTTTCGGTTTTACCCCGGCAGAGGCTGTGCAGTGATTTATCTCATGGCGGTGGCGAGGGGAGGGGAGGAGGGGGGGGGGGGGGGCTGAGCATTGCATACTACATACGATTCCCGATCGATATTAAAGTCCTGAAATAAAGCCTTCAGGGAAGATACACGTGGATAATAGGATATTCAGGGAGTATTGCCTACGTCACGGTTGCAGCCACGACGAAAGGAGAAGTGTTTGCATATGACGTCATCGTTCAACATTCTGGACAATAAAGGGAGTATGCTGCTACATGAAGAACGAATGACGACGTCGCGGAGGCGAAACTCCGAAACCGCGACGCGCAAGTGCGAACCGAGAGAGCTAAAAACAAGGAGAGAGAAGCGGGGGAGGGCAAGTCTTCTATTCTCTGCGTACGTGATTCCGAAGATCCAAAGCATGGCACGGACGCTCACGCTCTGCTTCCTTCAGGTGGGCGTTCGTCGAGGCATTTTGCTGCCACGGGCTGGGTTTCGTTTCTCGAATGAGAAATCTTCGGGTTCGACGATGCCAGGGATCAGGTTGCGCGTTACGAGATAATTAGATAAGATACACGAGGAATTTCATTATAAATCTTCATAAGTATTCATTTCGAGAGTATTCTACACACGTCCTACAGTAAAGGAATAGTAAATAGCAGATACCAGCAATATCAGTAAATAGCGGAATAGTTTTTTTTCCTCGAGGCTCCTGCCTGTAACACGATTTCAGTGCACTTTGATTCGCTAAAAGAGTTTACCATGTATCTTTCGCCTGAACACGACGTTATAAGGCCGATAGAGTTCAAACTATGATCTAAAATACCATACCATCGGTTCAAATTTTCTGTGAACATTTTCTGCTGTCTCGGTCTCAAGATTTTTCTAAATAATTTTCTAATTTTCTAGATAAAAAATAAAGCGAATTCATAAAAATAATACTTTCAAATATAAAATTTTTTTCATAGCATAATTGTAAGTTGACGGTCGCGCAGCTGCAAACCACAACAGCATGGGTTTTAAAATTAACTCTAGAACATGATGAATGAGGTATCATGATTTCTGCAAAACGGGGGAAAGAACGGAATTGTTCAAGATTTCCCGAATCATTCGGAATTTTGTGAGGTTTTTTTTTTAAATCTCTGTCACTCCATCCGTTCCCGGCTGTTTAAATGCGTTAATGGCGACTTAGAATTATTTACGAATTCCATCGGAAATGTGCTAATCCGATCCATTTACAAAATCGGAAAAGTTCTAAGCCTGAGGCACTTCCAGTTGCAACACTTTTTTTTTTTTTAGAAGACAGATGTATTTGATGGTGATTGACAACATTTCATCATATTCTTCAATTAAAAATATATTCTGTGAAATTTTTTCAGTGTGCTACCAAAGGGCATTTAAAGGGCCATTAAAACTGAGACGAAAGCTGATGAATTTTCTAACTTCGAAGGAGCCGATCTCCTAGTAGATCTTTCAGCCGCTGCGAGTCCTACCGATACTTTTTTCACGAATGGTGTATTGCAGATGGTTTTTGTTTAGTTCAGTTCAACTTTTTGAAACAAACCTCATAAATACCGGACGAGACGAAAAAAAAAACCTCCTTGAAATTTTGTGGCACCTCTGAAGCAAGAACGATGAAATTCCTTTCATACAACCTCTACGCATCCTTCGAGCATTCGAAAAAAAAAAAATTTTGGCTCGTTATCTCCAGCCGTTTCGGCACGAGAGTGACTTTACAAAAGCAACCGGAATTTTAATTTGCATTTTTCCCTCTGCACTTCAGAACTCGCTAAGCAGATCTCTGACGCGTCCTTGCGTCTGCCGATTTGCATATTATATTTTTTTGCATCCCAGGATTATCACCTTGAGAAACGATGACTTCTTCCACAGGAACGCAGTTTCTTTCGGTTCCGCCTAATTTGAGTCTTCCGCTGCTTCGCTTCCTCTCGGATAAACCAGTTCTTCGCAGCTTGCGAATCAATCTCTTAACAAAATGCCTACATTTATTTCTTACTTGACCTTATTATTCTTGCAAAATTCTGCCCACCACATCCTTTCGCAAAAGAGCAGCATTTTCATGGGGAGATTGCGTATTTATTCCTGTGTGGCCGCAGAAAAGCGAACAAGTATTTTTGGACGTTTCAAGGATACGTAGAAAGTTGTCGAAAAAAAATTCTGCCATGCTATCTTCTATCTCGTGAACTCCAATGATTCTCGAAGAGCGGCGCGTTTTTTTTCTTTCGTCTCACCCGGTATTTTGCATTACTCAGTCCTTTGTTCTCGATCGAAGACATCGATGCCACGCTGCCTGCGGCCTGGCAACCGGAATAAACCAACACTTCGTAAATATTCCAGAGCATACGACTCTAATGGTCTGACATTTTACGCCGCTCCTCGAACGAACTCGAGCGCGAGGCAATGCAAAGAAGCTCAGAAAATTTTCAACGTCGAACAATTCTAAAAAAGTTGCTTTTCACCGCACTATTTACAGGGTCGATGCGAAAACCTCCAGCATCGCTAATAATAACGTGCTTCGACTGTGCAGCATGCACCTTTATGAAATACTCTGATATTCGACAAGCAAGTCGCGACGCAGAAAAAACCGGACCATCGAAACAGGCCAGGCAAAGTACGAGAATCGCCTTCGCGGGACTTCTGTCCGCCCACGCGGCGCGAACGTATTTGTCCACGATGAAATCTCAGCCAGGATCCAAGTAGGCGCATAGACGAAACAAGAGGAGGAAAAAGAGAACAGTGAACAGGGCAATATCCGCATGGAAGCTCGGATTGCTGAGCAAACGTCCTCCCGCGAACCCTAATAAGTTGACCTGCATGACCAATGAGCGTTCGATATCAACCTCCAACATTTTCTTTCTTTCTTCCTCCCCTTCGTCCTGCACGTATGCTTTCCCCATCAGGTATCGAGAGCGCACATGCTTCAATGAGTTCAAATCATCGATCCGGCGACGCCACGATGTGATGGCATCCGGCGGTAGGGGATCAAATTAAGCGATTCTAAAAGAAATTAGTGCGCTTTTTACACCATCAGTTTCGCAGAGATGAAGGAATAAGCGATTCCATGATGAAAAAATTCTCATGGTTGGCTCTCCCCGAGCAGAGAAATTCCACGGTGAAAAGCGTATTGATTTTTGGAAGGCAATGCACTTTCTAATTCTATAGATTCTAAGAGATGACAGCAATAATGGAAAAGCCAAATAGACTGCATGCAACATTAACGGCCCATCTGGAATCCCAATATTTAAATGTACAATTACATTATACATGTAAACATTGGGATTGTAACACTGGTGGGAAACGTGCACAAAAAAATAGGCTGATTTGGAAATGGAGTCAACGGAAACTCCCACCCACGGCCCTTTAAAATAAACAAGATTTGCACGCTTCGATCCCGGCATCCTCCAATGAGATTCGAGTCACGTGATCGGGTTCGTCCAACTGTCAATACGGCACTGTCAGTACGCCAGGCAGGAAGAATCAATGAGAATAGAGGAATTTGAACCAAAATGGTACGTATTGAATGGTCCATATAAAATTATCTGCGTCTTGATCCCATCAAGCAGAGAAAATTCTTCGCTGGAAGAAAACTCATTTAGAGGTACTTAGCCGCCTTCGGGGGAATCGCTATAAAAGTTCCGAATGATTGTCAGTGGTGGCATAACAAAGTATGAAGTACCTCTCATTTAAAGTGACTCCTGATTGGGAGCTTCTTCCATCATTGCCGTCGTCAGCGTCAGACGAGATAAGGTAACTTTTTCCGTATAAAAAAAAGCAAGGATCAGAGTGCATTTTTTCGATACCCTGCAGTTGCTCTGGCTAACTGGGAGACAGCAGATCCGGCTTGAAGTCGCCTTCTCCAGGGAAAAAACAAATTTCCCTTCATTTCTTCTGACATTGGGTCACTGTTCGCGGATATTGGAACAACGATCGACTCGAGTTTGATGGTGCATAATTTGAGTAAATGACTCTGAGACAAATATCGTTTGTCTCAGAACGTCTCCGTGTGTAAAGCGCGGGGTAATGAAAAGCGACTCCTGGTGACAAATGGAACGCGACATTCAAAATTAAAACGAAGAATTGAGCCACTTCTCATGTCGTACAGAAGAGGAGGCGAAAGTTAAAAAAAAAAACTCAAGATGAAGCGTCAGATATTTGAATATTCGCAAACCAAAAATGCGTAGAAGTCTCTGATTATGAACATTTCATCAAACAGGATTTAACTCCACGTGAGAAACACACGAATCAATATCGCAATGTTTTCAATTATTCTCCATCGGCTCATAAAACATGAAAATAACGGACGACACACGTTTGGTAACGAGCGCTACCTTCCTAGACTCATCGCTCGTGAACTCAACTCACAGGAATGAATCGTTTTGGATTCATCCGCATAAACATCAGTCAGTTTTTATGCAACCATATTTCAGATCACTTCACGTGATTGATAGTACGGTTAACTCCGTTCATTAGAATACCGCCTAATTGAATACAATCACGCAGTCCCGATTTTTTTTACCACAAGGTGCATAATGAAAAAGTCCCTTAAAGGAATACGGTTATTAGAATAACCAGGATAAACTTCTGAAATATTAATTTTTTCAATCGATGAAAAAAAAATATATATATATACCTCGCCCCGCCTCGCCCTCGCTCCATGGATCCAGCGGAAACCAGGTAAATAAGCCTGCCTTATTCAGATGAACATGATAGCAAGTTCGCGTGCAATATAAATTGAGTCCAAAAGCTACAGATCTTCACATTCTGATTTGACTATGGAGAAAAGGAAACGCCTTAGTTCGGGGGTTCTCAAATTGGGGGATGCGAGGAGGTGCGAGGGGGTCCGAAAGGGGGCGCGATAGGCCATGTGAGTTATTTTATCCACTACAATCAGCTATTTCAAAAATTATGGAATATATTTATTCATCTATCTATTATTTTTACTAGAAAAAGGTCACATTCCTTAAGGTCTTTCTGGTCTTTCTCCTAGAATACAAGACTAAATGAAGGCAATTCCAGGCAGACTTTTAAATTCGATTCCTTTTTTCAAGGGGTGCACATTTCCGTCGGCGATTTCCCACGATTCGAATGAAGATGACAAATGAATCGTGCGTCCCTGTGGGCTGTAACTTGAATTCTCGATAAATGTAGCGTCCGTGCACTCGTACGCCTCTCAGAGGGAAAGAGGGCGCGGCGTCAAACCGGGGTCGCAAGGGGGGGGCGCGACACCGAGCGAGAGTCACTAGGGGGGGCGCAGCGTAAAAAGTTTGAGAACCGCTGCCTTAGTTTGACCTAAAAGATTGCAAAACTGGAAGCCCAATAAAATAAACGGGGCGCAAGAAAAGAACGGATGTAAATTGCAGAAAATGCATGAAGAAAAACATGAAAAAAAAAACAGTTTGTACGGAAGAAAATAGAAAAACACGAATACAAAAAAAC